AGAGATCGTCGATGCGATGGGTTCCCCCAGGGGGGTACGGACCACAGCTCCCCCAGTTCTGGCTGGTCGGCGTGGGCCGTCGTGAGGCTGTCTTGGGCCATCTTGAGGCCAACGCGGCCCGTCTTGTAGCGATCTTGGGCCGTCTTAGAGCTCTCTGGGGGGCGTCTGGAGCTTTTGGGGGCGCCTCTTGGGCCGTCGTGAAGCTGTCCTGGGCCGTCTTGAGGCCACCTCGGCCCGTTCTTGGGGCGAGCTTGGGCCGTCCTGGAAGCAGCTGGGCCTCGAGAGCGCGACCCCCTGCCGCATCTTGCCAGGGCTTCTGGCCTCGGGAAGGGGGCGGGGGGGGATGCTCGCGGCGACGTGCGACCAGGAGAGGGGGAGGGACTCTAAAGCGAGCTGAGGGACGTAAGGAGTGGAAGCGAGCGTGCGCCCGCGGCCGCGTCGGCTCAAGCGGCTGGCCGCCCAAATATGATTGTGCCTCACTGCGAGGCACACAATCGCTATCGAGACCGAAAGGGTCTTCCTATTGCTTAAGATGGCACATCCTCTCATACAGAGATTATCGTTATTACGGTACAACAGAGCGGGAGCTTGGCTTCGCCTGAGGCGAAGCTGCTGGCTGGGCCTCCCAGCCCCCTTCAAACTGAGGGGGCCCTTCGAAAATCACACCCACAAGATCTAGTAAGAAAAGCCAGCTTCCAGATGAGAGTCCGAGTGTTCTTAGCGTGGCTGAGGACATCTGGCTTCCACTGTAGACTGTTGAGGTTTTCTGGGATGTGTAGTTTCGTCTTTCGTCTCTTCTCCTTCGTTCCGCTTCCTCTTTTCATCAGCCTGCTCTTGCTGCCGCCGCATTTCTGTAGTTCTCTGTCGATTTTCCAGACCTGGACCACGAGTTAAGAAAAGACGCTCGCAGAGTCTGTTTTCTCAGGCTGAAGTTTTTCGAATTCTGATTTTCAGAGCGCGGAAACCCGAAAAGCAGACCAGATGGACCTGGGCTTTCTTCCACGCCTCCACGTGCACAAGACACGGTGGCGGATAGCGCGGCGACCGCGCCTAGCTCGACTCCCTCCTCTCGTCCTCCCCTCGTCCTCCTTTCCCTCCTCCTGCGCCTCCGCAGCGCGCCTCTGCGCCGGAGTTCGATCAGCGCCTTGGCTCCCAGGTGAGGACGAGCCCGGGAGGTAGGCTGAAGTCGGGCATTCCCCTTCTACAGCAAGAATTCCCAAGAATAGTCAAAAAATAGTATGGTGACGTGTTTTCGTGCTCTGTGGAATATGTTTTGGCTATTTCTAATTTTTCTTCTAAGACCCGCCTGTAGGAGGACAAGCACGACCTAGAGGCAGGTAAGGGGCGTTGGAGTGCTGGCTCCTCTTCTCCCCCTGCCTCTCGCCTCCGCTCCATCTGGCACAAAACTTACCCCTCCTCGGTGTCCCCTGCCCCTCCGTTCTTCTTTCTCTCTCCTCCCTCCTCCCCCCTCCCTCCTCCCCCCCATCCTTCTCTCTCCTCCCTCCTCCCTCCTCTCTCCTTCCTCCTCCCCTCCTCCTCTCTGCCTCCTCCCTTCGTTCTCCCTCCTCCCTCCTCCCTCCCTCCTCCCTCCTCCCTCCCTTCTCCCTTCTCTCTCCTCCCCCCTCTCGCTCCTCCCTCCTCCTTTTTCCTCCCCCTCCCACAAATGTAACACCCTTGCGGCAGGAGGTCCTGAACAGCTTTATACAGTATGGCGGAAAAGGCAGGGCATCGACGGAGGCTCCTGGAGCGACGCGGAGGGACAACGGGTGGTAGTGGGACACAACGGAAGACAACGGGTGACCACGGCAGGCAACGCGGGAGACAAGGGGAAACGATGGGAGACAACAAGAGACACACGGGTGACAACGAAAGACACCGGGAAGCATTGGGAGAGCGGGCGACATCGGAAGACAACGGGAGACACCTGGAGACAATGGCGCCCCACCGATTACAGATCATGGTAGCCTGGTGCTCGGCTTCTTAGAAGCATCAAATGAAGGAACTGCACAGGCACGGTGTTCAGGGAGAGTGGTTCCTCCTACCTCCTCCCGCCCCCCTCTTCCTCCTTCTTCTCCCCTCTCGCACAAGTGGTCACCTCGAAAACTGGATAGCATGCGTTCGATATCTTCAACTGTGCACAACCGGGCCCGCCGCAGGCGCTGACTCTGTCAAAACGCGTTTCTTCTCGGCGGCGCGCCGGGGAGGGAAGTGAGAGGGGGTAGGCGTTCTCAGAAGGCGGCGGCGGCTTCTCAGAAGCCCTCCGGCCTTCCGAGACGTTTTCTTTGCCTGCGGGGAAGGCTTAGAAACCTTCTCAGAAGACCGGGCCTCCCTCATTTCCCGCTGGGCTCGCCGCCAGTTTTCGCAACCCAGAGCCGATGAGACGGCCCACCCCCCCGGCCCTGGATCCCCATAAGGCTGGCCTCCCGACGGCTGGGCTCCGCCCTCTCCCCTCCCTCTCCCTCGCCAGCAGGAGAACCAGGGGCAACGATAGGGGGGGATAGGCACAGGGGGGGGATGCATCGACCCCCAATCGCCCACTGATTGCCGATAGGGGCCCGATGGCCCCATCTAGCCCAGGAGCGTGCGGATTCGCCATCGGGGGGCGCATCGTCGATTCCAGGTCGGTGTTCCCCTCCTTTTGCCAGATGGAGAAGGAGCATCTGAGGCGTTCCAGAAAGGGCTTGGGCTTCGAGGGTCGCAGGGGTTGCCGTCTCGTCCTCGGCGGAAGGCGGTGGAGGGTGGCGGAAGCAAAACGGGGCTGCCTCCGCCAGCGGAAGCCGACGGAAGCTCCGCGGAAGGCGGCGGAAGTAAAAGATGCGCCCCCAAGTCTTGGGTGGTTTTCCATGGGAGCTCAAAATGCATACACGACGAACCATTCCATGCTGTTTAAAGTCGTTCAAGTCCAGTTAAGGACCACCTGGCGCTGCTTACCAGCGGCCTCCCCACCGGTGCCATCTCTTGGCAAGAGGTGGCACGGTTTTTGTGCTGAAGTTTTCCGGACCCCCCATCTGAACGCAATGGCGTTTATTCACCCCGAACCGGCGAACATTTGCGCGACTTGAAGCAAGGCCGTATTATAGCAAGATGTGGATGAGTCGACACTCTCCTTCTTCGATCGCGCGCCACCTTGAAGGGTTCATGCTGGGGCCCGTGGTGTTCGGACAACAACGTAGATTCGCTGGTCCTCTACGTCGTCAGTGCCACCAGCTGCTTCTCAACCATTCACCATCCGCAAGAAGCTGTAGCGCATGCGTCAATGGATGCTCAGGTTTGCGAATGCCGAGGATTACCTGAGACCTCACACCTGACAGTGTGACCCACAAGTCGTTCGCGTATCTGGACACGACGCATTACGAGGCGGATCGCATTCATAGGTCAGAAGCTCACCCAGCGCTCCGACACCTGTTGCCCATGTCTGCCACTGCTGGACCCCATCCGTATAAGTGCTCGGGATATCCAGTCTTACGCTTTTCACCATCTATCATTTCTCTTATGTGCATCAAGATGCAAGCTCATATCTGTCGACCCTCCAAAATCCCACTATGTGAGCCCACGACATTGTCTCATTCTGTGTGTGTGATGTGGTCTGGTCTGGTCGGACCCTTCTTCTTGCACGTGGCAGGTGGCAAGCCTCGATCATGCTCCTCCACGGCCATGGCATGGTGCCCACTCAATCCAGTATGGCGTCGCCTTCGTTCCCCGAACAGTGCTTGCACTTGGGTTTTTTTCTCCCCGAAGTTACTGACTGGGTCCAACGAGATTTTCGCCACGTTGCCACCCGTTGCCGCCTCGTTGCCGCCTCGTGCGCTGGGTGGGTCTGGCGAGGTTTCGCCGCGTTGCCGCCCTTTGCGCCTCGTGGCCGCCTCGTGCGCTGTGCGGGCATGCCCGACGGTCGCGCATGCCATTTGCACGGCAGCTTGCTGCAGCGTGTATACGGGTCGCAGTGCACGCGCTTCCTGTTTACTCAAGCCCACTTCCATTTGTTTCCCTAGACGTCCACTTTCTTCGTCCCGCCAGTGCACTGCCAATCCGTCTGACGACGATCTCGGCCTCTGTGACTGCAGGACTCCTCCTCCTCCTCCCTCCCACCTCCTCCCTTCTCCCCCCTCCCTCCTCCCCCCTCCCTCCTCCTTTTCCTTCACCTCTTTCACCACGTCCTCCTCCTCCTCCTCCTCCTCCTCCTCCTCCTCCCCGCATCTCCCTCATCCATGAGGGGCTGGAATATCCTGCAGACCCTGGGCAGCTCCATTCCTACAGTCCTCAGCAGCCATAGCACGTTCGGCAGCGAGGACGGCGTAAGCAGGGGCGCCAGCAAGGATGAAGTCGCCGAGGATCAGAGCTCTCCCAGGACCACCAGTAAGCGCAAAGCCGAGAAGAAAATGGAGAGCCTGAGTGCTGGCAAGTCGCTGAGCGGAGAGGAGCTCGAGGATCTGGGGGCACAGACTCCTCGACCCTGGGGAGGAGGAGGAGGAGGAGGAGGAGGAGGAGGAGGAGGAGGAGGAGGAGGAGGAGGAGATGATGAGTATGATGATGATGATGATGATGATGATGATGATGATGATGATGATGATGATGATGATGATATGAGGATGATGATGAGGATGAGGATGAGGATGAGGATGAGGATGAGGATGATGATGATGATAATGATGATGATGATGATGATGATGATGAGGAGGAGGAGGAGGAGGAGGAGGAGGAGGAGGAGGAGGCGGTGGAGGAGGAGGAGGAGGGGGAGGAGGAAGGGGAGGAGGAGGAGCAGCAACAGCAGCAGCAGCAGCAGCAGCAGCAGCAGCAGGGAGGATGTGGCCTGCGCCGATTTTGGTGTCGGCCAGCTGGTGCGCTCTTCCAGGGCGCGCCAGGCGTGCTCCGACGCGGAGCCCCTCCGTGGTGCCTTCGCCCTGCCCCCTCCCGAGCAGGAGCCGCGCGGCAGGTTCGCTCCGCCGCGGGCACGCGCGCCGCGCCAAGGCGCGGGCGCTCCAGGCCGACCACCCCTCTGGAGGCCCCGCTGCCACCCCTCGGGGTCCGCTGAGGACGGCTCCACGGCACGAGGTCCATGCGGAGGGTGGGGCCGTCAGGGCTCCCTGGGGGCCTCCGAGAGGGGAGGCCGGTCAGGGTTGGAGCGGTTCGCGTGGGGTCAGGGGCTGCCGTGAGCGGATGTCTGCGCAGGCACTGCTGGTCGGCCCATCGTCGTTTCCAGTTCTGCGTGGACGCTGCGAGTGGCACGTCCGTCTGGGGGGTTGTTACGGCGCTGCGCGCTAACAACACAGGGTCGTACAGGGTTGTCCACGGTTTTATCGATTCGACGAGGCGTGCCGACGTTTGCGTGTGGCACTGACCGATTCCATTACGCACCTCCACGGGCGATTCCCCTCCCCTACGGATGTGGTTCGAGGAAGAGCTGCCGGCGCTGCTCCGCTACAAGGGCAGAACGATCACGGGCCGCCTGCTGCACTTCGCCATCGCCAAGTCCCACCACGACGAGGACTGGGTTTATGAAAAGTGTCCAATCGAAGAAGAACAATAATAACATTACCACCCATATGGCCATCATCGTCCACACGAAATCGTCACGTCAAGCGAGACTGTTAGAGATTTCACAGAGTTCTCATTCGAGTGTCTCTTAGTCACATGGGCTGTGTAGCATCGATCCTCCTCCTCCTCCTCTTCCTCCTCCTCCTCCTCGTCATCCTCCTCCCTCCTCTTCCTTTTCCTCCTCTTCCTCCTCCCTCCTCCTCCTCCTCCTCCTCCTCCTCCTCCTCCTCCTCCTCCTCCTCCTCCTCCTCCTCCTCCTCCTCCTCCTCCTCCTCCCCCGCCAGGCGGACCTGGCCGCTCGGAACGCTGTCCCAGCGAGCATGCGGTGTACTGATTTGACTCGGCGGCGAGGCTGGGGGGAAGTGAGAGGGGGCGGTCCTTCCCAGAAGGCTCAGGATACGTTCTCCAAGCCTTCCCCGAAGACAGAGACGGCTTCTGAGAAGGCCAGAGGGCGGGGAGGGGGCTCGAGCACTCCCTCTCACAGTCGGGGGGGGGTTGAACGCCCCCGACTTTAAGAGGCGACGACGGCGACGACGGCGACGACGTCGACGACGACGACGACGACGACGATGACGACGACGACGTGTCCCGCTTGCCTGCCCGACCGACTCACCTACGACGACGTCGACGACGTGTCCCGCCTGCCCGCCCGATCGACGGACTCGCCCACGACAACGACGACGACGACGACGACGACGGCGACGCGTCCCGCCCTCCCGCCCGATTGCCCACGACGACGACGTGTCCCGCCAGACCGACTCGACCACGACGACGTCGACGACGTGTTCCGCCCGCCCGCTGGACCGACGTCTGGTAAACGACAATGACGATTTTGACGACGACGGTGACAGATTTTGACGACGACGACGACGGTTTCGACGACGACGACGACGACGACGGCGTATCCCGCCCGCCCGCCCGACCGACTCGCCCGCCGCACGACGTGTCCCTTCCTCCTGCCCGGCCGGCGGACTCGCTGGCAAACGACGGCGACAACGCCGCGAGGGCTTTCGGAGGGTGGGGGAGTGGGGGGAATCTCTCAGGAGGAAAAGAAACACACAGACACAATTAATCCTCGATTCCCCAGAAAATATAGGAAAATATGGGAAATTGGGGGGAAAACAGAAACCCAGAACATATGGAAAATATATGGAATATTTGTATTTGTGTGTATTTATTTGTGGGTCCTGGGGCCCCTTCAATCTCGCCGGGGAAGGGGGTCGCGGGTCGGGGGGCCAGTTCTGGAGACGATTGGGGGGGTTCGAGGGGGAGGGGGCCAGTTCCAGCGTAGGTCAGGTGGGGAAACAACACACAGACACAATTAATCGTCGATTCTCAAGAAAATATGGAAACATATGGATATTGGGCGGGAAGATAAAAAACCCGAAAATATGGGAAAATATGGGGAATCATTTTATTTGTGTGTATTTATTTGTGTGTCCTTGGGGATGTTGCACCAGTCAGGCGGGATGTTGCACCAGTCAGGCGTACGCAGAAGACGCCCACTCTGATGTTCTGTCTCCTCCTTTGCCTCTCCTATTCCTCGCGTTCCCCCGCGTAGCTTCTCGGGTCAGATGAAGGTACCGCTGCGCGCCGTCGAACTTGACAGCGAGGCAGCAGGGAACTCTCCTTGTGTGCCCGCTGCCACCCTCGCCCCGCTCTCTCGTCCCCCAGCACGCCTGTACCCCTTCCTGCTCTCCCCTCGTCTTCGCCTGCTCTCTTCGTCTCCCCCCCTCTCCCCCTCGAGATGCGGCCCCCCGACGGTCCCTGTGCGGCTTCGCTCCCCGTTTCAGAGCGTGCCGGTCGGTCGCTTCCACTCGGTGTCTTCCGTGGCACTTGCCTCGCTCGCTTTCAGGCCCTCGCTCGGTCCCCCTTCGTCGCACGCTGCGACCGCAAGGCTTCCATGGGGCCAGTGCCTGACGCTAAGCGGCGTCCGAAAAAAACACCCTCCGATCGTCTTGTCCATTCGCCATCGGGTGTTCCGTACTTGCCTTTCGCTTACGTTCATCCGGGGGCCGCGGGGCCCTTTTCCCTTACACTGGGTGCCTTTCTCTTCCTCCTGTCTCTGCCTCTCCCAAAGGAGCCCGATGCCAGCACTGTGCTGAGTGTCCTGAAAGCAAGAGCCGACGTCCACGGGACAGCCAGCTACATAAGGCATTCGAACGGGACGACCCAGAGGAACGACCTTCAGGGCATCCACATCGCTGCTGGCTTGGGGTATGTCCCGGCTATGCAGGTCCCCCTTTTGCTCTTTCCCTTTCCTCTCCCCATCCTGATCCGCACTCCTCCCTGTCAGTTGGGAGGGAGGGTAGGATACACATATTATGTGTATATCTATAGAGAGAGATGGAAAAACGAGAGAGTCAGAGCAGGTGCTGGTGCAGAGGAGTGTCGAGCTTGGGGAAGACCCGCTAGAGCTGGTCAACGCGAATTGTTTGCTGGCAGGCAGGCCGTTCTACAAGCCTATACACGACGCCGCCTTCGCTGGCTCCAGGGAGGCTATCTGCTGGCTCCTGGAAAACAGCGCAGATCCCACAGCAACAAATGCGGACGGAACCACCGCGCTGCACTTCTACGCCAAGAAGTGCCCCGACAGAGAGAGTGACGTTGACATGGCAGTCCGGTCCCTGCTGCACCACAAGGCTCAGCTAGGGACTCGCGACAAGAAGGAAGAGAAGACTCCGCTCGAGCTGGCAGCCACCGACGACAGCCAGTTCCCGAGGCGTCTGCTCCACCTGCTGGCGCCGTCGTTCCAGAGCAGCAGCTTCGCCGACGACGGCGCGGGCGGCGAGGGCGACAGCAAGACGTCCCAGGGCGGGCACCGGGCCTCGTTCCTCAAGGACCTGTGCGTGCTCTCGGGGCTCAACACCACATCGGCGAATCAGCCCGAGGAGGAGGAGGAAGTGATGACAATGGTGATCTCGTTGTTCGTGATGGTGGTGGTAAGTTCTACTTCCGCCCCAGGCCCTGGCCGCCAGAGCTCCCCCGGCCCCCCTGAGATGCCCGGAGGCTTCTGGAGGCCCCATCAGCGCAAGCAGTTTACCACAGCTGTTCCAAGACGCCCTCACACCTCCCTCGCGAATTTCGATGGCCGCCAGCGACGCTCAGCAATGGTAATGAGACAACTGATGATGCTGCTGCTGCTGATGATGACGATGATGACGATGATGACGATGACGATGACGACGATACTGATAATGCTGATGACGATGATCATGATGATGATGATGCTGATGATGATGATGAGGAGGATGAGGATGAGACTAAGGATGATGATGATACTGATGATGATGATGACGATGCTGATGACGATGATGATGGTCACGATGGCGACGATTACGATGATGATGATGATGATGATGATGATGATGATGATGATGATGATGATGATGATGATGAGGAGGAGGAGGAGGAGGAGGAGGAGGAGGAGGAGGAGGATGTTGATGATGACGATGTTGATGACGCCGAAGGTCGGGTTGCTGTCGGGGGCGGTGAGGATGGTGGTGATGATGAGCGTGATGATGATAACGACGATGATGATGTTGCTGCTGTTGATGATGCTGATGCTGATGATGCCGTTGACGATACTGATGGTGGTGCTGCTGCTGACGACACGATAATGATGATGCTGATGATGATGATGCGGATGATGATGACGACGACGATGATGCTGATTATGATGAGGATGATGATGCTGATGATGATGCTGATGATGTTGCTTTTGATGACGATGATGCTGCTGATGATGATGACGGAAGTGATGACGACGATGCCGACGATGGCGCCGTTGTTGTTGATTATGCTCATGGCGAGTATGATGAGGAGGCGGCGGCGGAGGAGGAGGAGGAGAAGGAGGAGGAGGAGGAGGAGTAGGCGGCCTCATGGCGGGAGGCGAACCAGCTAGCGCGGCACATCTCGGACGACGCGGGGTCCCACAAGCGCGTGCGGTCGGACGCGCAGGAGCACAACGCCGTCGACCTCCTGGCCAGCCTGATTCACATGGCGCCCGAGGCGGCTGCCGACATGCTGCAGCTGCTGGCCGTGAAGCCGCGGGTGAAAGACCCAGGCTCCGGGCGGCGTGCCGAACTTTTTCTTCCAGCACTTATCAGCAAAGCAGGGTTACCAGATCATCTGGCAAATGTATGCCTGGTGTGATCCAGACTGGCTGTGTCACGGAATGCCTCTTGCAGGGGGGGGAGCTTGGGGGGAGCTTCGGGCTCGAGGCTCGAGGCGTGTTGGCGTTTTCCGTCGACTCTCGGCGGCTTTCGGACCCCTGGGTGCCTTCCAGCAGCTGCGCCTCGCCGAGAGCGTTCTGGGGTGCTCAGATCGTCCCGAACGGGCCACGGGAGAGCCGAGTTGTGGCCCCAAACGCGTCCGAGAGGGGGCGGGCACTCTGAGAGGCCCCCTATGGTCTCGGAAAAGGCCCAGGACGCTTCTCAGGAGGCTGGGGGCCTTCTGAGCCTTCGAAGGCCCGCCCCCCCTGTCTTTCCCCCTGGGCGCGCCGCAAGAGGCCGACACCCGATCCGCACGCGGGCGAGCATGTGGGGCTTCCCCTACTGGAAGCGCCTGCGCTGCGCCTACCAGGCGGACTGTGAGAGAGACGAGGGAGAGGTCTTCTCCTGGCCCGTCTGGAAGTTCGACTCCACCAAGCAGGACGACAGGGACCTCCAGAACCAGCCCGAGCTGAGGTGGCACCTCGACCTGGTCCAGAGGCCCGAGGACGATGCGGACAAGCGGGAGTACGTGGTCGACGTCGACACCACGGTCCTCCTCGTCCCGAACATCCTGGACATCGACATCTTCATGGCGCTCGCCCAGACCAGGCACGGCCGCATCTTCGCGAGGCTTCCCGTGCAGGGGATTGTCGGCTGCCTGTGGGAGGGGCTGGTCGTGCGGGCCTTCGCCCTGCTGCTGCTCCTCAACGTGTTGGACGCGGTGGTCATGGTCTGCTGGGGCCTGGGCGACCAGCAGGAGGTCTCCCGGAGCCTCTGGTCGCTGAGGTGGTCCATTCTGGCCAGCGGGATGGTGCGGGACGTGGTGAACATGGCCTGGTGCTTCTCGGCGTACTGCGCCAAGCAGCGAGACCACTACAGGGCGTTCTCTGGCTGGAGCAGCGACTCGTGCGGCCTGCAGCGCCCCCCGGGGCTGCACGTGCTCTGGCGACCCCAGAACTTCTTCACGAACACTGTGCTCTTTGACATGTCTCTCCAGGTCTCAAAGGGGCTGTTCCTCTGGCAGGCGCGACTAGCTGGCGCCGTCGCGCTCGACATGTATCAGCAGTCGCTGCTGACTACCACCACAATCATGGAGCTCTTTAGAATATTTTACTCTCTCCGCCTCACCAGCGCCGGCAGAAAGATCAACACGATATTTGCCGCCTGCCTCAGTGGCGCGATCTTTGAGATGCTGCTCGTCACCTTCCTCTTCTTCTTTTCTGTCTGTCTGGCGTTCTCGATGCTCACCGGCGTATCGGGCACATCAGTCATAGGGCTTTTCATGTACCGCGGGCTGCTGTTCGGCGACGGATCCGCGCTGGATGAGATGGGTCTTGAGATGAATCACAAGGACAACGATCAGCACACGGTTCGAACTTTCGTTATGGTCTTGGCAACGCTGCTCTTCAATGTTGTGCTCATGAACCTCACCACCGCCATCTACAGCGCAGAGTACGACAGGCTCGAGAAAGAGGCCGAGCTGATATTTCTGCAGGAGCGCGCGAAGTGCTGTTGCGAGCTGCTGCTGGGGGTGCAGAAGTTCAGGTTCGCCTGCGAGGACGACGCAGGCCTCTGGCTGAGAGTCCGGCGGCTGTGGGCCGTGGCCTGCGCGTGTGTCGCTGCCGGAGGGGGGGGGGGGGAGGGGTGAGGAGGAGGGTGGATGATGAGGGGGACGGTTCGCGAGGACCAGGATGGATGCTGAAAGGTGGAGGATGAGGGGGGAGGAAGGATGAGGATGAGGATGAGGACGAGGATGAGGATGAGGATGAGGACGAGGATGATGATGCTGATGACGATGATGATGACGATGATGAGGATGATGATGATGCTGATGTTGATGCTGCTGATGATGATAACGATACTGACGACGATGACGATGATTCTGATGATGCTGATGATGACGATTATGTTGATGATGATGCTGATGATGATGATGACGATATTTATGATGCTGATGATGAGGTTGACGGTTATTGTGATGCTGATGCTGATGTTGCTGCTGATGATGATGATGCTGATTATGATGCTGATGCTGCTGTTGCTGCTGCTGCTGCTGATGATGATGATGATGATAACGATGAGGCTGCTGCTGATGATGATGCTGCTGATGCTGCTGCTGATGATGATGATAATGATGATGATGATGATGATGATGATGATGATGATGATGATGATGATGATGATGATGATGATGATGATGATGATGATGATGATGATGATGATGATGATGATGAGGAGGAGGAGGAGAAGGAGGAGGAGGAACATGATGACGATGAGGAGGATGAAGGAGGAGGAGGGGGACGGCTCATGAGAACAAGGATGAGGGATCGGAGGGAGAGTGAGGAGGAGGAGCAGGAGGAGGAGAGATCGGAGGAGGAGGAGGAGGAGGAGGAGGAGGAGGAGGAGGAGGAGGAGGAGGAGGAGGAGGGGGGAGTCTGGAGGATCGAGAAGGGCCGGGGCAGGCGGCCTTCAGCACCTCCTGCCCGGGGCCGGCGGCGGCAGCTGCCTGGCCGGGGCGGGCCTGCTGGCGCTCGCCCAGATCCTCGCCCTCGCGCTGCGGCTCCAGAGCCACTGGTTCGCGTGGCACGAGAGCGAGGACTCACCACCCACCAGACCACCCCAACCCAGCCCGAAGGCCTCAATTTGCCCTCCATTTCCAGTGGGGGGGGGGATCGGGGAACGTCGAAGAAACACATGGTCCCCGTACCCCCCCCCTACCCGAAATTCGGGTCAAATTCGTGCCTTCGGGTTGGGTTGGGGTGGTCTGGTAGGTAGTCAAGGACCTGGGGTCGTGCGGGGCTGGGGCCCAGACCTCCTCGAGTCGTGACCAGAATCACGACGGCAGGTTTTTTCGCCATTTTTGGCCTCTGGGGGCCATTACCGGGCCTCGCCACTGTCAAAATACGGCTGAGGATGAAAAACCGGTCCGAGGGAATGGGTCCGGAATTCAAGGGGTCGCGTCAATAAAGAATCATGACGTCGGGGGTCTGGGGACGAGGATAAGTCCGTGCCAGAGCGTTCTGGAACGCTCTCAGAGCGTTCCTTACCGCGGAACGCTCTGAGAAGGCTAAGGCGCTCGAGACATCCTCCAGAGCGGCGGGATCTCAGAGATTCGCGATTTATCCTCACCCGATTTTGTCCTCGTCCTGGCTTCGTCTTACGGGGTGGGTGAAGCCCGGTAGAAGCTCGAGCTCGAGGGAAGAGGCACGATGACCATGACGACCAAGATTCGGGGAATAAGTAGTGACATGAGCATGAACTTGCGGAGGCCCGCGCGGATTTCTTGGATCGGCGCCGGGCCCCCCTGGCGCCGCCCCTGGCGCCGCCCCTGGCGCGCTCCCCGCGCCAGGGAGAGGGGTCCAGCGCCGATCAAAAAAATCCTTGCAGAACTCCAAAAGTTTATATTGACGCCGCTTCTTCTTCGAATGGCCCAGATGTCGCGGCATCTTGTCGACGCCGACCGTGGTCATGGTCCATGCGGGCCGTCGCTGATTCACGAGGATGATCCGTGAATTGACGGTGGCCAAGATGGACGGCGACCAAGATCGGCACCGACGTTTCCGCGTTCAGCCTTCGGTCATGGTCACCGTCTTCTTTTCCTCCAGACCAGGGGGGAGAGCCACGGGCAGAAGCGTGGCTGCTTGGAGGTCCGCTCGGACTTCTTTTAGAGGGGCAACAAGGCATAATGATGATGATGATGATGATGATGATGATGATGATGATGATGATGATGATGATGATGATGATGATGATGATGATGATGATGATGATGATGATGATGATGATGATGATGATGATGATGATGATGATGATGATGTTTTTTCCTCGACGTCAGGACCAATATCTGATATCAAAATATGGTATACACTGAAACCAGACTTGAGAGATCCGTCGCAGAGAGCCGACTGTCTCGTGTTGCCCCGCTTGGGCCAGACTGCCAGGGTGCTGCTCGTAGGGGCCTCCTGCGCAGCGCGTGCCTAGCAGCGTCGAAATGCTAGCTGAATAATATTGGCCGCTTCGTCTTCGGCAATTGAACTCAGGTGGGGTGGGGCCTCCACCTCACGCAGCTCCTCTGCATGTGCTGGCACGGCAGGGGGGGGGGGTGGAGGCACGACGGATGAGGGCGGGATGTGACCGTGACCGTGCTGCTACTGGCAGGGAGGCCTTAGCCTCGAACAAACATTGACACGGCGTGGACTCGCCTCCTCTGCGCTGTGGCCTGCGCTGTGGCGTGCAGGCTCGCTCTGGCAGAAAGACAGGCTCGCTCTGGCAAAAAAAGGCGGGTTCACTGCTCGAGCGTCTCTAGCCAGTGGCCTACCTCCTCCTCGGGCCAGCCCACTGGGGCCACGCCTCGGTGGTGGACCGCCTGGCCCTCCCACATGGGCGCGCCGATCACCAGCTTCTGCTTGGTGTCGTCGTAGCGGTGCCCGAGCCCTTCGAGCCCTGGGAGGGGTCCAGTGGGAGTCGCCACGACGCTCTCCGCTTGGGCGTCGTCCCCCTGTCCAGGGAGAGTAGGCGTAGAGGAAACATTAGCCACTCGGATCGCCCGCGTGGGCGCTACATATACTGCTGCTGGGCGCTGTGCTGCTTGTAGCCGTCGAAGTGGTCGATGTCTAGGTCTGCTGCGTAGGTCGCTGCCCGCGATGTGTTCCACCGACTGGCAGTTGGACGCGCTTACATCAGGGGTGTCCTCGATGGCGGGCGAGGGACGGCATCTGGATGGCGCAGGGCGCGGCGGGGGAACACTTGGAGTGGCCGAGCGCGTGGTAGTCCGTTTCTGGCACGACCCGATGTTGCACTCGAAGGTGGGGTTTGTCTCGTCGTCGGTGTCCGTCCCGTCGTGCGTTGCCGCCGAGAGGAGGGAAGAGGTGCTCACGCTGGCCTCGGGGAGAGCCCACTGATCCATCTTGACAGCTCGGAGGGCCTCCTTGTGTTTGCTAATCTCGGCGTAGGCGTCGTTGAGAGAAGACGCACGGTGGGCGCCCGTCTGGAGCCCAGCAGCAAGTAGGCCATAGTCCCAGCGGATGTTGTTGTTCGTGATGTTGGCGCCGCTGACAGGCATCTTGATCTGCATAATCATGGGGGTGTGGTCGGCAACATGTAGTAGGCTACTTAGCTTGGTGTGGATCTTCCAATTCAGCTTCACGTGCTTCACGATTTCCATGACGTTGTCGTGGCCGATGAAGTAGTTGATGCTTGATCTGGCTTTGTTGTGCCCGTAGTAGGTATTGCCGACGTCGATGTGCATGTTGATGGCTGTCAGCTGGTGCGTCAGGAACTTGTCGTGAATCAAGCGTCCGAGCTCGGTCTCGTCGCTGGGTTGGTAGCTGCCGATTGCGTTGTCGGTGCGGCGCTGTCGTGATCGTCGTCCTGGCCCTTGGTTGATGTCCGTGAACAGGATGGGCATGACGCGAATAGGTATGTCGGTATGTGCCTGCGGTACCCAGCTCCATGGTCGGCGGCATCCTGCTTTCCAGTGTTGGTAATGACCTGCTCCGTTCGGCCGCGGTGGGGAATACGCAGCAGTGAGTCGGGAGCGGAGCTGGCCTCGATGAAGCTCGACGGCGCCCGCGCCCCGTAGGTCAGATTGTGGGGGGTGCCGTACCTTGTCGATATCTATCTTGCGGCTTTGGCGCTTGGATACCGCGATGCTGCGACTTACTGAGCTGCTCGTGTGTGCCCCGCGACCCCATCCGAAATGAACCCATGTATGATAGCGGCGGTCCTCGAAATGATGCGGGGCGTCGGTAGTGCACTGGCGGATCTTAATGCCTGCGTACATCATAGTCTGATTTGCACGGCATGTGTCGGAGATGTGGTCGAGATGCCCTGGGACATCCAGTAGTCCTTCGCGAGCTGGGTGTGGATGTAGTGGTCCAGGTGGCAAGTCACGTTCGGCGTGCAATTGTTCCACTGGTAGTAATTCAGGAGCCGCTTGGTGTGATCCTGCCTGTGCTGGCCCTCTGTGTTCTGCCTCGATGTCCTCGGTCTCCGCTCGGTGCAGGTGGTTCCGAATGGCACCCTCCATGGAGCCGCCCACGTCACACTTGTAAAGTCCTTCCAAGATCGCCAGCGCGAAGGGCGGCGCTGGCGACCCTATCTCCTGCAGGCGTTTCTTTTCCTCTGGGGTGTCGCTCTTCCCGAGGGGGGAGTCCAGGGTGTACTTGTAGCCTTCGATCTCCTGCGTGATGGCTATGATCCCTGGGAGCTCTTTCCTCATCGTGTAGGTGTCCGTATTGTTGCTGCCATTCAGCCTGGTCTTGTGCGTCGTCTGAAGCAGCATGTGGCAAGTCACGTTCAGCGTGCAATCGTTCCACTGGTGGCAATTCAGGGGCCGCGTGGTGTAGTTCTGCATGTGTTGGCCCTCTGTGTTCGTGAGGATGTTGAAATTGAAGCTCAGCGTCCAGTAGTTCGGGGTCAGCGTGTCGTAGTCCTGCCTGTGCTGGCCCTCTGTGTTCGTGAAGATGTTGAACTTGAAGCTCAGCGTCCAGTCCTGCACGTACTGGCCCTCTGTGTTCGTGAGGATGTTGAATTTGCAGTTCAGCGTCCAGTCGTTCAGGGTCAGCGTGTTGTAATCCTGCATGTGCTGGCCCTCTATGTTCGTGATGATGTTGGAGTTGATTTTCAGTGTCCAGTAGTCCTTCGCAATCTGGGTGGGGTAGTCCATGTGGCCAGTCACGTTCAGCGTGCAATTGTTCCACTTGTGGCAATTCATGGGCCGCGTGGTGTGCCTGTGCTGGCCCTCTGTGTTCGTGATGATGTTGAAGGTGAAGCTCAGCGTCCAGTAGTTCAGGGTCAGCGTGGCGAGTCCTGTGCTCAGCAGGTGCGCGGCGCCCGCGCTCCGGAGCACGGCCATGGCGGCCTGGCGGTGTGCGGGGTGTCGTCAAGCGGCCCCCTGCCTTTTGGGCATGGCAAGGGGGCGGTGACTGGAGGCCGCTGCTCCATCAATGGCCTGAGCGCGCGGCGGCCTTGATGATGATGATGATGATGATGATGATGATGATGATGATGATGATGATGATGATGATGATGATGATGATGATGATGATGATGATTGTGATGCTGATGATGATGATGATGCTGCTGATGCTGATGCTGATAATGATGCTGATGCTGATGATGATAATGCTGTTGCTGATGATGATGCTGCTGATGTGGTTGTGATTGTGCTTTTTGTTGGATCTTACTTGCTAAACAACTCTTGTTGGACCCCCTCACGGTGCCCTCACCTCGGCGCCGGCTGCATTTCCTTTAAAATCGAGGCTCACGCTCAGGCGTTTCGGGGGTGCGCCGAGCGTTTCGGGGGTGCGCCGAAACCAGCCCCCCAACAAGAACAACGCTCCCGCTCGATACTTCCTTCTTTTCTTACTCGGGGCCAGGGCTCCTGCTCGCCGCCGAAAGCCAGCTTTCCAACAAAACTGGCGCTCCCGCTCGATCTTTCCTGGCTTTTTGCTCAGGACCGGCGCTCCCGCCTCGGCGACGCAGGCGGCAGCCCCTGCAAACAGCGACGCTCCCGCTCGATACCTTCTCAGCTTTTCCTCAAGAGTCCCGGAGGTGCTGAGGCTCCCCTAGCTATTCGAGAAGCGTTATTTCGACTAGACGTAAGAGTGACCTTTCGCCGGAGTGACCTTTGGTGCGGGCCAAATGGGGTCCCCGATCGCCGAATGCGATGCGGTGGTAGCGTCTTGCGCGCTTGTGTTTGGTCCCCCCGCGGCCCCCAAAAAGCCGCGCACCAAAGGTCACTCTTACCCAGGGTCACTCCTGCGTGTAGCCGATAATTGTGGGACACCCTGCATCCGCACTGGCGCTCTCGCCGCGGCGCCGGCTGCATTTCCTTTGAAAAACAGGGCTCGCGCTCGGGCGTTTCGGGGCTGCGCCGGAACCAGCCCCCCAGCAACAAGAACACCGCTCCTCCGCTCGATACCTCCTTCTTCTCTACTCGGGAGCGGGGCTCCTGCTCGCCGCCAAAAGCTGGCCTTCCCACGAAACTGGCGCTCCCGCTCGATCTGTCCTTGCTTTTCTCTCGCAGGACCAGCGCTCCCGCCTCGGCGCCGCAGACGGCCCCCCTTGCAAGCAACGACGCTCCCGCTCGATGCCCCCTGCGCTGTTCTGGAAGACGCCCAGAGGCCGATCCTCGCGGATGCAGCATCCTCGAGGATCGGCACTGGGGGCCATCCGCACTGGGGGCCTCCCTGGCCCCCAGTGCCGATCCTGAAGACGCGAGGATCGGCACTGGGGGCCCCCCTGGCCCCCAGTGCCGATCCTCGCGGATGCAGCATGCACTGCCAGAGGTCTGCACGGGAGCCCGGCGCGCTCCGCGTGCCAGGGGCGGCTCAAGAGCCCGCGGCGGCGACCCCGTCGTCGTCGTCGTCGTCGTCGTCGTCGTCGTCGTCGTCGTCGTCGTCGTCGTCGTCGTCGTCGTCGTCGTCGTCGTCGTGGTCGTCGTCGTCGTCGTCGTCGTCGTCGTCGTCGTCGTCGTCGTCGTGGTCGTCCTCCTCCTGCTTTTCCTCCTCCTAAAGGATCCTCCTCCTCCTGCTCCTCCTCCTTCTCCTCCTCCCCCCTAGTCTTCCATCCTCCTTCCTTCTCCTCCTCCTCCCCTCTTCTACCTCCTCTTAGGCTCAGAAGCTCCGCCGATCTAAGCCTTGTCAAAAAATGCCTTGAGGCCTCCTTCAAGATGGATCGTTCTCTCCCGCTCAGTTTCAAAGCGTCTCCCAGGGGCCCTCATGTCTCCCACAGGGGTTCTGAAGCTTCTCTGACAGGCTTTGGGGGCTGTCCAAGGGGCGCCAGAGGCTGTCCAAGGGGCTCAGGGGGATCTCCCAGAGGTTGTGGGGCTTCTCCCAAAGGTTCTGCGCCACTCGGGCGTGGGGATACCTAGAAGCAAGGCATGGGCAGGGCGATTGCGAAGGCGATGTGCCATCCAGGCTGGAGATGTTGAAGAGCCTCAGCAGAGGTGTTGTCAAGACCTCCTCGGGCGGGAGATCTACGAACCGTGCGCGATCCCCACGGAGAAAGGGTGCGTATAAATGTGATCCCTGTGGGGCCCCATATGAGCCCGAAAGGATCCATGCGGAACCTTCCAGGAGCCCTACAGGATCCCTGCTGAACCCACAGGGGCCTTTTAGGACCACTTCGGAATATCCCAGAGCCTGATAGGACCTCTGCGTAGCAATGCGTTACCCTACATGAGCCCCATCGTGTCCTTCCGGATTTTCATTGGAGCTGACTACGATCCCCACGGATCTTATACAGGGTGCGTACAGGGTCCTCTGCAGAACCCTACTGTAGCCGTGCAGCAGGATCTCAGCGGAACCGTCCAGGAAGCGGGTATGATTCCTGTGGAGCCCAACAGGAGCCTCACATGATCCCTGCGGGATCCTTACGTGTACCTTATAGGATCTCTGCGGGCTCTTCAGGAACGCAATCGGGTTTCTGCGGAACCTGGCATGAGCCCTATGAGATCTCGGCGGGACCTTTCGGCACCTTATTAGGATCCCCGCGGCATTTTACAGGCCCCCCATAAGATCCCTGCCGCACCCTGCGCGAGCCTTATCGGATCCCTGCGGAACCTTGCAGGGGCCGTATAGAACCCCTGCGGAATTGGGGGGGCCTACAGGATCCCTGCGGCGCTTGATAGGAGCCCGTTACAGGAGCCGCAGAGGGTCCTCGCGGAACTGTGTAGGAGTCCTGGACCATTGCGAAACTCAGCAGGGGCCAGTGGGACCCTCGTGGAGCCTTTCAAAAGCCGCCTGTTTTTCCCGCAGAAGAAGAACATATGCCCCAAGAGGGGTGAGATCGAAGGCAAACAGGACGGTTATCGAGGGATTAGGAAATACGTGTTGAATGGCCCGCGAGCAGATAATAGCGACCAGTCTCAAAATGGTAGGTGCTGTTGACGATGACTATGGTGGTGATGATGACGACGATGAGGAGGATGATGGTGATGATGATGGTGCTGCTGATGATGATGCGCTCCAAGGCTTCAGGATATCCAGGATCCCCCAGTGCTCGGCACGGTCCCAATGAGCGAGGGCCGCTAGATACTCCAAAATTCCTGGAACATCTCCCGAGGCAATTGTATCATGACGCCGCAGTCGTTCTACTCTTGGGTCGGCGCTGGGCCTTCCTCCCCAGGCGGCGCCTCGGGCGTTTTTCCTGGCGCGCGGAGCGCGCGAGGAAGGCGTAGCGCCGACCCAAGCGCCGAGCCAAGATGTCCTCGTGGACCTTCTGAAGTGTGTGCGCCGCTGTTCGTTGCTTTCCTAGAGAAGGAGGAGGGACCCATCCAGCCCCACTTCCTGTGGATCTGCGCGAGAGGCGACTACAACGAGGAGCAGTTCAGTGCCGAGCTTGACAAGAGCGCGGTGGAACAGCTTGTGGACGAGAGGACGCAGCAGCTGACCGAGAATGTCAATGCGCAGATCAAGCGCATGGACGCCAAGGTCGGGAAATTGACGAGAGCGATGGACGACAGGTTTCATCGCATCGACGCAGCGGTCGGCAAGGTGCTGAGGGCCCAGCAGAATCTCGCGAGGGCGCTGAACGAGGAGCCGCCGACGTCTACCCCTGAAGCGCCGACGTCGAACCCCCGATCTCTTCCCCGGTCTTTCACGTCCTAGCAAGGGTAGCGCCTCTTTGTAGACAGCTGCGCTGCCGTGAGCGCGGCGATCGTTCGACCTCTTGGAAGTGGGAGTGGGCGAGCAACAGATGATGATGATGGTGATGATGATGATGATGATGATGATGATGATGATGATGATGATGAATATGATGATGATGATCATTATGATGATGGCGACGATGATGATGCTGATGACGATGATGACACTTCTGATAATGATGATGCTGATGCTGATGATGATGCGGATTATGATAATAATGATGATGATGAGGAAGAGGAGGAATCTGATGATGATGGTGATGATACCGATGCTGCTTATGCTGATTATCATGATGATGCGGGTACTTATGATGATGATGCGGCTGATGATGATGATGAGGCTGCTGCTGCTGATGATGATGATGATGATGATGCTGATGATGATGATGATGATGATGATGATGATGATGATGATGATGATGCTGATGATGATGATGATGATGATGATGATGATGATGATGATGATGCTGATGCTGATGCTGATGATGATGATGATGATGATGATGATGATGATGATGATGATGATGATGCGGCTGCTTCTGCTGCCGCTGCTGCTTCTGGTGCTTCTTCTTCTGCTGATGATGATGCTGATGCTGATGCTGAGGATGATGATGAGGCTGCTGATGACAGTGGGGAGGATGATGAGGATAATAATGAGGATGATGAGCATGAGGATGATCCTGAGGATGAGGATGGCGAGGACGAGGGTAGTGCTGCTGATCATGAGGACTGCCACCCCCCTGCCCTGTACGCGGTCGGGCGGCACTCTGCTCACGCAGGCCACGGGTACGACCATTTCGGTTCCTCGGGTGAGGGAGGGCTGTGACAGCGTAGGCGGCAACAGGAGCGCCAGCGAGGAGCGGCAGGAGGGGGAGGGAGGTGGAGACAACAAGGCGAAAGAGGGTCACTGGGGAGCTCGAGAGGGAGGAAGCGGAGGAGGTCAAGCTAGGTGCGCTCGCGTCATATCTGACGTCCTACCCCTCCCTCCCATCTCTTACCATGGCGTAGATCTCCTCTCTATTCGCACAGTCGGATGTCGTAGCATGGCATAGTATTACTTGGCATATCATGGTGTTGAAGATCAACGCGTAGCATGACGTAGCATGGCGTGGCGACGCGCCAGAGTGGGGGGCTGAGACTTCCTCACAACTCATGCTCCTGACGTTTGAGACTTGAAACAGTTTCACGGATGGAGGGCGGGTGGTTTGCAACATGTGGTGCTCGCATTTGCGTCGCGGACATTCGGCCTAACACTTGGCAAGAGCTTCACGGATGGAGGGCGGGCGGTTTTCGAAATGTGGCATGGTGGTCGCAAGGGGTCCTGATGGGGGTCGGGCGGATTTGATATCTTGATATCTCGATATATCGAAATATCAAGGGCGGGGACTCTATATATTGATATCTCGATATCTAGATATCGGAGTCGGGGGCTAGATATCTCGATATATCTCGATATCTCGATACCAGGGGGCGGGGACTATATCTCGATATCCCGATATCGAGGGTGGGCTCCGATATCTCGATAACTCGAGATCTCGTATCGGGGGCGGGCTAGGGCGGGATTCGAACTCTCGATGTTTCGATATCGGGGGCGGGGACTCGATATCTCGACATCTCGATATCTCGATATCGGGGAGGGGGGGCGTTCGGGGCGGGGCTTGTTGCACGGCGCCTCGCCCCCCCCCCATCCCAGGACCAGAATTTCCCTATCCACGGCCCGCATGGGCCCGCATGAGCCCCCTCCAGCGGGGCCCGTCCGCGGCGCAGGGCGTGCATGAGGAAGTGTTGCATTTTCGGAGGGGGGGCCAGATGGGGTCCAGGGGGGTTCGGAGGAGGACCCTGAGGACGATGAGTACGACAGGGGTACGTGAACGTCCAGATTGCGAGAATGACGATGACGGCGTTGCCGATGATGATAATGATGCTACTGATGGTGGTGATGATGCAAGTGATGGTGGTGATCGTCAAGAAAAGGCGGATCATGCTGCGGAAGATGATGTTTATGATGATGTTGATGATGATGATGCTGCTGCTGATGATGATGATGATACTGGCCATGAAGACGGTACTGATGCTGTTGATGATGATGACGATGATGATGCTTATGATGATGACGATGATGACGATGCTGCTGATGATGATGACGATGTTCACGATGCTGATGATGCTGATGATGATGACGGTGGCGATGATATCGATGATGCTGATGCTGCTGATGATGATGACGATGGCCACGACGACGACGATGCTGATGATGATGCTGATGGTGGTGAGGATTCTGGTCCTGACTATGATGCAGATGATGCGTATGATGATGATGATGATGATGATGATGATGATGACGATGATGCTGCTGCTGACGATGCTGCTGATAATGGTGCTGCTGCTGATGATGATGATGCTGATGCTGATGATGATGCTGATGATGATGCGGATGATGATGATAATGCTGGTGATGGTGATGATGCTGATGGTGGTGATGATGGTGATGATGATGACGACGATGATTCTGATGATGCTGGTGGCGATGATGTTGATGATGCTGATGATGACGGTGATGATGATGATGATGATGATGATGATGATGATGATGATGCTCATGATGATGATGCTGCTGCAGCTGATGACGGTGATGACCGGGATGACGATGATGCTGATGGTGAGGATGATGATGCTGATGATGCTGCTGATAATGATGATGATTGTGATGATGTTGATGATGACGATGATGATGATGATGATGATGATGATGATGATGATGATGATGATGATGATAATGAGGATGATGATGATGATGATGATGAGGCTGCTGATGTCGATGATGATGGTGATTAGGATGATGATGATGATGATGATGATGATGATGATGATGATGATGATGATGATGATGCTGATGCTGATGATGATGATGATGATGATGATGATGATGATGATGATGATGATGATGATGATGGTTGTCATCACCCCTGCCGTACTCATCGTCCTCAGGGTTCCCCTCCGACCCCCTTGGACTCCCCTGGCCCGAACTTAGAAAAGTGGAAATTTCCTTATACACGCCCTGCGCCGCGGCCGGGCCCAGCTCGAGCGGGCCCGAGCAGGCCTATGCGGGCCCGCAGGCCGTGGATCAGGAAATTCTGGTCCTGGGATGGGAAGCGAGGCGCCGTGCATCGAGCCCCGCCCCGAACACCCCCCTCTCCGATGTCGGGATATCGAGATATCGAGTCCCCGCCCCCGATATCGAGATATCGAGAAAACGAGTCCCAGCCTGACCCCGAGATTCGATCTCTTTACAACCAGAACAACCACTTTACAACCAGATGGGTTACTTTACAACCAACATAGGATTGGAAAGTCTGGTTTTTCATCGAGAACGTCCACTTTGCAACCAGAACGGCCCACTTTACAACCAGAACGGACCACTTTACAACCAGAGCGGGCCACTTTACAACCAGAACGGACCACTTTACAACCAGCTCAGAGTGGCCGTGCGTGTTTGGGCGTTCCGCAAAGTGCTCCAGAGCAAGTGGGCGCTCTGAAAAATGCCCCAGAGCAAGTGGGCGCTCTGAAAAATGCTCCAGAGCAAGTGGGCGCTTTCAAAAGTGCTCCAGGGCGCGCGGACGCTCTGAAAAATGCTCCAGAGCACGTGGGCGCTCTGGAGCCCGAGCGCCTGAACTTTCTGCGCAGGCCCCAGCGATGCCTCTGAGCCCGAGCGCCTGAACGCCCTGCGCAGGCCCCAGCGATGCCTCTGAGCCCGAGGACTTGGACGCTCTGCGCAGGCCCCAGCGATGCCTCTGAGCCCGAGGACCTGGACGCTCTGCGCAGGCCCCAGCGATGCCTCTGAGCCCGAGGACCTGGACGCTCTGCGCAGGCCCCAGCGATGCCTCTGAGCCCGAACGCCTGGACGCTCCGGCGCTCTGAGCCCAGCAGACTAAGACAGGGCTTGCTAGCAGGGGCCAAGCGGCCTCAACAAGGGCCCCGTGCTCGCACGGGAATAAGGCGACAGCATACGTAGGAAGGCTCAGGGCGACGCGCTGCCCATTTTAGGGACCCCTCGCAGGAAGCGAGCCCAGTGGCCTCCACAAGGGCCCAGCGCCCCAGGGAACCACGCCATTGGCACCGCGGGTCTCTTGGGCCACGTTGGCCCCTGAAGCCCCACGGTGTTTTGCAAGGGGCTAAGTGCTCCAGCTCCAGTTGGCCCCCTGCTGCTCCTCTTCTTGGAAGATCGAGGTTCAACGTTCCGAATAAATGCGATTATTTCGAAGATCGTTCCTTCCAGCGTCAGCCACAGTGCCAGCGCAGCAACGCAGGTATCCTGTTCGGGCAGCAGCTTCAGCCACCGTGCCAGCGCAGCAGCTTGAGCCACCGTGACAGCGCATCACCGCCACCTTTGTGCCTGCTACCACCACACTTACCGCTGCAGCCCCGCTACCTCCACAATTCCGACTGACCCCCCGCTACCGCCGCAAATCCCATTGCAGCCCAGCTACCACCACAGTTCCCACCGCTGCCTGGCGACCACTACAGTTGCCACCGCAGCTTCCCAACGCCATGCAGTTCCCATTGTAGCCCCCGCTACCACCACATCTCCCACTACAGCTTCCCGCTGCCATGCAGCTCCAGTCTTGGACCGGATCATGGTTTATTCGTATGTCCTGCGCGACTAGCCTTCGTCCGTCAGAAGAAGGCAGAGCAAGCAATGGCAGAACTGACCGGCAGAGCTTAGAGAGCAGGTCAAAACCCTAATCCGCCCACCAGCACGCAACATACCATAGCGCACCAGGTCGCCGCATCGCCAACGCGTGCGCAGTGCTTCTTCGTGCGCGATGGGCAACTTCACAACCAACATGCATCAAAGAGCCCAAAGCCACCCTTGCGCTTGCCCACGGAGATTTCAGGGAAAGGCCCGCGTGCATTCAATATGTGTTTTTACTTGCCTGGTTGTGAAGTGCCCTTCCTGGTTGTAAAGTGCCCTTCTCGGATTTTGTAAGCTGGTTGTAAAGTGACCCATCTGGTTGTGAAGTGCGCTTCTGGTTGTAAAGTGACCCA